CTGAGAAACTGGGGGGGGTGGGGCATGGAGGGGTGACCCCTTGAGCGGCAGGACCCCAGGGTGGCTGGGTGAAGGTTGCCTTGCGCCCCTAGCCCCAGTTCACCTCCGAGCTGCCAGCAGCTTTGTTGGAGAGAGCTTCGCCCAGTGCCAGGGAGCTGGTGTTGACAGCGTGTGCCAGCTCCTGCTCCACGGCTTTGTGAGCCTTGGCTGCCTCGTGGATCCTGCAGGCAAGAGGGGCTGGAGCTGCTGGGGCTCCCCCAGGCTCGACAGGCAGTGTGGGATGAGGAGACCCCTGTGGCTCTGGGTGGCCACAGCACAGCTCCCCCTTTCCCTGTGCCCGCCGCATCCCCCATCCCTCAGCCTGACCTGGTGATGAGGGTCTCGGCAACCCGTGAGACCTGCTGCAAGAGGTTGCTCTCCTCCTCAGTCAGGTACTCCATGGACTGCTGGGAGCTGAGCCGCGGCCGGGCGGCTGCTCGGTAGCTCTCCCCCTTCTGCTTGTCCTCCCAGGACTTGAGGGTGCTTTCAAATGCCTGCAGGGGATGGAGATGGCCCCCCTCAGCCTGTCACACCTCCCCATGCCCCAGCGTGACCCCGCTGCGTGGGCTGTGCAACTCTGAGCTCACCCGGTCCCTTGTCAGCATCTGGGCTCGGTTCTTGTGCTGGATCTTGATGATGCCGGGCGGCTGGATCCAGGCTTCTCCGTCCACCTGCACAGGGACGCCCTCATCCCCCCGGATGGTGATCTTCACCACGCGGCACTGTGGGGTGGACAGCCTGGTGTTGGCATTGCATGGCACTGAGCCAGGGCTGAAAAGCCTCCCAGCACCATGCCCGTGCCAGCCAGGAGCCTGGCCGAGCCACACCACCCCAGGCTCCGCTGGGGCTCCAAAAGCTTTCCGACACCATGCAGGGTCCCTTGCCCCTACCTGCGCTATGCGATGGTGCTGGAGGTTAATGACCCGCGACACAGCCATCTGGATGCTGCCAAAGACAGCTACCACCTCCAGCTTCTTGTCATCAAAGGATGGAGCCCCGAAGTTCTGCAGAGGCCCAGTACAAGTCAGACCTCCAAACCAGGCTCATTTTGGCACCCAGCATTCCCCCCCCAAATGTGCCCAAGGCAGGGACACCCTAGGCCCCCGCCCGAGGGCTCCCAGGTTCCCTGGGACCATCGGAAGGATGTCGTCCTCCCCCTCCCCACCCTGCGGCGCTGTCACTCACATTGTCCTCCTTGGTGCCTCCCCAGAAGTTGATGCCCCCGGCGTAGCTGGGGATGTTGAGGACAGCGATGCCCTGCAGGCTGGGCAGTGAAATGGGCACCCCATCGCACTGCAAGAGACAGCTGAGCCAGAGCCTGGGGGGCCACCGCACCACTGCCCCTCAGAGGGACGGGTGAGAGGAGCTGTGGGCTCCCCCCCTGCCGGCCACAGGCTCTGCACGCTCCCTGGGACACTGGGCTGAACCAGCTGTTCTGGACTGCTGGCTCTGCCTCAGTTTCCCTACCCCCGAACAGGGGGGGGCTGCCTCCGGGGAGATGTAGGCTGTAGTATGTGCCACCCAGATGCACACCCCTCCATGCCAGCATGGCAGCAGCTCCTCTATCCAGGTGCAGAGTGGGTAAACCCCACCAAGCCCTCCTGTGCCCCTTCACAGACCCAAGGGCACTGGCAGCCAGAGCCTCACAGCATCCCACCCCCTTCCTGGGGGTGTTTGCAATCTGCCGCCCACCCAGAGGTGCACACTGGGTGCAGGTGGAGAACCTGCCGCAGGAGGGGGGGGGGGGCGACCCAAAGGCTCCTGGCAGCCTGATGGTCCCTCTGTCGGGGGGAAGAGCCAGGGAGAGTACATGTTTTTCCCAGGGGAATTTGGGGGGGGGGGGGGTGTTCAGCCAACCTGCACTTCTTGGGGTGCTCATCCCGTTTATTGTTGAACTCCAGGGAGATCTTCGCATCCAGGCCGATGCCAAAGTAGTTATTCATGACGCATTTCTCTGAGAAGTGGCTGAAAGTGGCAGACAGGGTGGGTGAGCTGGGAGGCAGCTGCACCGTGGGGCTGGCACTGGGGGACGGGGTGTAAAACCCGCAGGAGCTGCGGTGCGAGCTCCTGGAGGGGTTGGCACCAGGAAGCCTGACTCAAGCCGGCAGGGATGGCTGGAGCCCCGTCAGTCCCCACGGTGCGACACATGTGGTGCACCCAGGACCTGCCTGCACTGGGCAAGGGGGGAGCCCCAAGCTCCCAGCACAAGCACAGTGCTGGCCGAGGGGCTGGCAGCAAGAGATCCTGCACCGGGCACGTGCAGGCTTCCCTGGCATGGGCACCCCCAGGCCAGGGAATGCTGGGCAGCCAGGATGCCACACTGGTGGGCAGAGGATGCCCCAGCGGCCACCCTCAAGCAGCAGTGTGGTCCTAGCTCTGCTCCTCTGCTCCCGCTCTGGGATGGAAAGCAAGGGTGAGCCCTTGGACCTGCCCTTGGTCCCTGGACAGGACCCCAGACTCACAGGGCGCTGGGGTCTTCGGGGAACTGCAAGCTGCCAAAGGTGTCCGGCCGGTCCAGGATGACGGAGGAAGATGCAGAGGTCACCGTCTCCCGCCGGGAGCCTGGCCAGGGGAGAGAGGAGGCAGCTGCTGAAGTGGCTTTTACCTGAGCCCATACCAAGGCTCACCCCCATGCCCCTCCAGAAAGCCACGTGCCCCCCTGGCATCTTACTGAGCCTCTCCTCCTCCTTGTTGAGCTCCTCTGAGCTGTCCTTCTTGCTGGGGCCCATGCTGCCCCGGTAGGCTTGGGTCTGCTTGTTCTGCTCATCCACAGCTGGATGTAAAGAGAGGTGAGACAGCAAGTCCCGGGCAGCTCCGTGGCCCTGTGTCCCCTCCCTGGGTCAGCCGTGTGGGCCCGTGCCAGGCAGGGCCCAGAGTGGCACCTCTGCCCCATGTTGGGGACCTCCCACAGCCACGCCAAGCGTCAGAGAAGGGCTGATGCCCTCGGATTGCACAGCACTGCTGCTGCCCCAAGGATTCAGATGGGGAAACCAAGGCACTGGTCCAGCTCCAAGCTGTGGTGGCTCCGCAGCCCGTGCCAGGCTGCTGCAGCGCCACGCGAGCTGCCAGCCCCCGCCACCCCCTCACCTTTCTCCGCCTGCTCAATGATTTGCCGCAGGGCTTTCTTCAGGCTGTTTGCCCGCAGCATGAGCTGCTCCTTGGATTTGAAGATGCGAGGCATGGGGCTGGGGTTGAAGCTGCCACCTTTCTCCTGGTCCTTGGTGTCGGCAGGGGGGGCCTGCGCCGTTCCCTCAGGGACCACAATGGCCTGAGCCTCCTCATTCAGCTCCCGCACCAGTGACTCCAGCTTCTCGTTCAGCATGGCGCACTGTGGGACGCCCAGCACGCTCAGCGCTCTGGCACAAGCCGCTGCTCGCCGCCAGTGCTGGGCACTTCTCTGGGCCCTCCTGTGCTTGCCAGGACACCCCCAGTGCCTGGGCACCCCAGCACAGCAC